TAAGGAAGTGGATAGGTGGATGAGTCAAGAAGTGGATAGGTGGATGAGTAAGGAAGGGGTTAGGTGGATGAGTAAGGAAGGGGTTAGGTGGATGGATAAGGTAGGGGATAGGTGGATGAGTAAGGAAGGGGATAGGTGGATGAGTAAGGAAGGGGATATGTGGTTGAGTCAAGAAGTGGATAGGTGGATGAGTAAGGAAGGGGGTAGGTGGATGAGTCGAGAAGTGGATAGGTGGATGAGTCAAAAAGTGGATAGGTGGATCAGTAAGGAAGTGGATAGGTGGATGAGTCAAGAAGTGGATAGGTGGATGAGTCAAGAAGTGGATAGGTGGATGAGTCAAGAAGGGGATATGTGGATGAGTCAAGAAGGGGATAGGTGGATGAATAAGTAAATGGCTGTGTTAGTGGATAGGTGGATGCATGAGAAAGAGGATATGTCGATGAATAAAATAATGGTTGTGAGAATAGATATGTGGATATCTAAGTAAGAGGATAGATGGATGAATAAAGAAGTAAACAGATAAGCAAACGGACAGTTCCTTATTACCTTCCTACACAAGGTCGTTTCAGTTCGTTTGCCTTGTAGATAAAGAGACAGATTTTATAAGTAAAGAGAAAGAGACAGATTTTATAAGTAAAGAGAAAGAGACAGATTTTATAAGTAAAGAGAAAGAGACAGATTTTATAAGTAAAGAGAAAGAGACAGATTTTATAAGTAAAAAAAAAAGACAGATTTTATAAGTAAAGAGAAAGAGACAGATTTTATAAGTAAAGAGAAAGAGACAGATTTTATAAGTCAAGAGAAAGAGACAGATTTTATAAGTAAAGAGAAAGAGACTGGTTTTATAAGTCAAGAGAAAGAGACAAATTTTATAAGTCAAGAGATAGAGACAGATTTTATAAGTGAGTAGACAGACAAATAAGTAAGTCCGCGGATTTGTAAGTAGCTAAGTGGATGAACGAGAAAGTAGGTAGATAGACAGGTGAATAAACAGTTAGAAAGGTAGATAGATAGATAGATCTGTGCATAGGTTGGGAGGTAGGCAAGTAGGTAAATAGACAGAGATAGATAGAGATAGATAAATAGTAAAATAAGTAGAAACACAGATAGATAGACGGAAAAGTAGCCGGTGAAGAATCTATGTAGAGACAAAAATCCAAAAAGATTGTTTTGATTATTTTCTCATTACCTATTCTTATTTACCATCTATTATCATTATTTACTTATTACCTATTCCTATTTACTCATTATTATCATTATTTACTCATTACCTATTCCTTTTTACTCATTATTATCATTATTTACTCATTACCTCTTCTTATTTACTCATTATTATCATTATTAAATCATTTTTATCATTATTTACTCATTACCTATTCCTATTTACTCATTTATTATCATTATTTACTCATTATCTATTCTTATTTACCCCCTATTATCACTAATTACTAATTACCTTTTCTCATTTGTTCATTATTATTATTCTTACCGCAGCTCGGGTTCTTCAAGCGCAAACGACTGAATGAAAATCAAAGAGAGTTGATGAAGCAGAGTCAGAAACGCAGGACGCAGTGCATGGAATAGGGCAGACGTCTGTACGTGTGTGTGTGTGTGAGAGAGAGAGAGAGAGAGAGAGAGAGAGAGAGAGAGAGAGAGAGATTGAGTAAGTAAGTAAGTACGTAAGTGAGTGTGTGAGAATGAAAGAGAAAGAGAGAGTGAGTGAGTGAGATTGAGAGTGATTGAGTAAGTTAGTGAGTGAGAGAGAGACAGACAGACAGACAGACAGACAGACAGCGTGAGACAGAGACTGAGAGAGAAAGAGAGAGAGATAAATGCTTTAATGCACACACATACGTACTAATGGTCTAAAATATGTCAATATATGCTTACTTATAAGTGTATTTCGACATCTGTAAATCTATATGCCTATATTTCTTTTTACGAGTATCCATCTATATCTATCAGTACTTGTATATGTATATTGATTCACATATCTTTGTTTATATTGTGCCTTTATGTATGTATGTATGTATGTATATGTTTGTGTACCTGTTCATGGGTCTACACATACATTTATTTACATGTGTCTATCTTAATATGTTTTATAATATATATCTCATCCTGCGCCTACATCTGTTTCCTTAGCCTTATATATATCATATATAGAGAGAATTATGTATGTCATACAGTATGTGTATAAGTATACGCTGTTCTAGACTGTTCTTAGTTTTCCTTATCACACTGAAGGCATTATTTTGTGTTCAAGAGAGACGTTCGTCCAACGGTGTTCTCAGACTAATAATACCTGAAAATGGGTTTAATTGAATGTTATGTTAGCTTAAACTTCCGTCTCTAAAATATGCAATATGTTCACGTTCATCATGATATTATTGTTGAACATATTGATGCTTATGTAATAGTTGAATTGTTAATAAGTTAAATGTAACAAAACATTTAATGCCTTTTCGGGCAACTGTTTAGGCAAAAATAGATCAGAGCT